AATTTAATGTTTCCCAGTCGGAAGGATTTTAATTATAAGTAAATCTAAGAGAGTATAACGATCTTAGAAGTGATAATAGGAACAGAGTTGTTGATGTTGGCCAAAGACCCTGTTCTATTGAGCTAGGCATGCAAGCATGTCAATCAAATTAAACATCTGCACCACGCAATGTCGAAAATTCAAGGCTGGGTACAGTGGCTCATTTCTGTAATCCCAGCACTTTGGGAGACCGAGGTGGGAGAACTGTTTGAGTCCAGGACTAGCCTGGGCAATAGTAAGACTTTGTCTCTGCAAAAAAAATTAAAAAGTTAGTCAGGCATGGTGGTAAAGACCTGTAATTCCAGCAACATGGGAGGCTGAGGCAGGAGGATCATTTGAGCCCAGGAGGAGTTTGAGGCTGCAGTGAGCCATGATCATGCCACACTGTAACTCTAGCCTGTGTGACAGAGTGAAACCCTGCCTCAAAAAAATAAAAATTAAAAAAAAGAAAAAATTCAAGAACAAAGGACAATGAGGAGACCAACCACCAAGATGAGAGTTACATCAAAGACTGTCATGTACAAGAACACAGAGAATTAGCAGGGTGTGGTGGTGGATGCCTATAGTTCCAGATACTTGGAAGGCTGAGGTGGAAGGATCATCTGAGCTCAGTAGTTGAGGCTGCGGTGGTAGTGCGTGTGCCACTGCACTCCAGCCTGGGCGACAGAGTGAGACCCTTTCTCAAAAAAGACACACACAGACACACAGACAGACACTCAGAGAGAGAGAAAGAGGAAGTTGGATAATTCAAAACAAAATTAGAAGCAAAAAAAGCTACATCCATGCTGTAAATCTCCACTTGAAGTGAGCAATTTTGGAGCTGTGGGGAGTGACTACAGTGCACAGGATCAGTTTTGAGGGCCTTGACCTACACTGAACAGAAACTGTAAGAGCTTCTAGTCAATGTGGTGGATGGAATTACACATCTGATAGCTTCTACCCCATATTCACTAAAACTATAGCAAAGGAATTTAAACATACACACAGGGGGCAGAGCTGAGAAGCAATGAGGTACGCAACAGATTCCCCCAAAGATGCAGGCACTGATGCCATCTGATACCATAGTCCTGAAGAAGGAAAGGGCGACTGAATTAAGGACGATGGGGTAAAAGGTGTTCAAGATAAAAATGAATCCCTAGATCCCTGTCACCACTCCAACCTGATGTCCTCACTCAACAGACACTGGATGCTTCTCTAGAGAAAGCAAGATGGGTGTCTTGCAACTAGAGGATACCAGGCATTACTAGGCTTAGGTACAAGCAGAAACAGAGATCCAGTGACCATACACATCCCACCCTACCTTCCCCTGCTCCTAGACACAGACAGCAGCTGTCTACTCTCCAGTCTGGGAGTCTTCTCAAGGAAAGCAGATCAATCAAGAGGAAATACCTGAAGACACTGACCTTAAGGGCTCCTCAACTAATAGTCCACCTAGATACCCCACAGTAAGAAATCTCTGAATTGACAAGGTCCATCCATTTGTGTGGAACTTCCTATCAGAAATTTCACCTCTCCTCTCTTAAATAGCAAATAACCAAGGGTTAATAGGCATTTGAGGAAAGTCTTTGAGAAACTTGGCAAAGTGGAGTCTGTGGATTCTTTGAAAACTTAAAATTTTTTTGAGAGATGATATTCCACTCATAAAACAATGTTATTTTAAAAAGGTACACTTAGGCCAGGCTTTGTGGCTCAGCCTGTAATTCCAGCACTTTGGGAGGCCGAGATGAGTGGATTGCCTAAGCCCGCAGGTTCAAGACCAGTCCGGGCAACTTTGTGAGACCTCCTCTCTACAATAAATTTTTTAAAAATTTGCCGGATGTGGTAGCAGGCACCTATAGTTCTGGCTCCTTGGAAGGCTGAGGCAGAAAGATCGCCGGAGCCCAGCATGTCAACACTGGGGTGGCTGGGAGTCAGCCACTGCACTCCAGTCTGGGCGACAGAGTGAGACTCCAACTCAAAAAAAAAAAAAAGTATTCTAGTAATCAGGAGGAGAAAATCAAGATAAAGCTGGAGGAACAAAATCACAGAGACAGACAGAAAAACAGGAGAACAGATACAACAAAGTAGGTCAGTACAGGAGTTCTAACATCTGAAAGGTAGGGTTCCAGAAGGATAAATTAGAAGAAAAAAAGCGGTGGGGGAGGCAATGATCAATGAAGTCTTTATATTCCCCAGGATTTAAAAACCTAAGGTTCTGAGTGAAAGGGCTCACAAAGTGCCAAGCACATAGGATGAAAACATACCCTCACACCATTGTGGATCACTGAAGGAAAAATAAGGTTCTAAGAGTTACGAGAGAAATAAACTGGTCACATGTAAAAAAAAGAATTACATTTTATTCACATACTAATATGTTCACTATAAATGTGTTTAAAGGGTTATGACGGAAAACCTGTTTTTGTTTTGAGTCCGAGTTTCACTTTGTCACCCAGGCTGGAGTATAGTGGCACGATCACAGCTCAGTGCAGTTTTGAGCTCCAACTCAATCCTTCTGCCTTAGCCTCCAGAGTAGCTGGGACTACAGGCGCACACCACCATGCCCAGATACTTTATTGTGGATTGCAAAGAAGTCTGAAAGCAGTAATACCAAGCACTTTTGTCATTGTAAAAAAAAACTACGTTCCTACAACATCTGCGGAGCACCCACTGGGTCCTGGGCACTCCCAGGTCTAAGATGTTTGTGCACTGTTGGGTGAGTGTGCATCTAGAATCAGAGCACATCCATTTGGGGCAGTGTCCACTTGTGTATATAGTAGGCCTCCTCTGTGACTAGCGTGTCAGGAGAGTATCTGGCTGTGCATAAGTATGTCACTACAGGAAAACGGAAAAAAATAAAGATGACAAAACGTCACTGTTGTATCATTTTTTAATTTAAGGAATATCATTCTAAAACAAAAAATCATTATTAATAAAATCATAGGTTTATTCCAGTATTTTAAAATATCCTCTGTAACATTCCACTCAGAAAGTAGATAAACAAGGTTCTTCCCTAAGGAATGGTGCAAATGGAATGTAATGTATCACTGTACTAGATAGAATACAAACTGTGAAGACAAGGAAATTCAGTTGTTCCACTTTCCCCTCCCAGATCACTTTTGCCGAGGAACAGCTCACTCAACATCCCGGAACTGTCTTGTTGAGATTCACCAGCACAGCGCAGGAGGGAGGACCTTTGGCAGTTAGCATACGAACATGATACTGCCTACACCCATCCTGTGGGAGAGCTGAAGGGTCAAGCCCTCAGCATCTCATACCAACCAATCTACTGGAGCACTCATGTACATCACTTTTGCCCAAATCCTCCAATGTAAGACTTAAATAGCTAAACTATCATCTAGGTCATATAGGTACTGTACCTGGAACTACAGATATCTCTGCTCATAAATGTTCAGTTTTATAGTAAGAGTACCCTATAGAGAGTCAAGGGCACAATCACATTTTTAAAAATCAAGAGAAAAAAGTAAACACAAAAGAGTATTAGCATAAGGCAGAGACTCCTGTTTTTTGGTAGTAGACAGAAAATAGGCTCACAGATAGGTATAATCTAGAATTTGATTCTCTGAGTATCAATCTTGGAGACATAGCTATACACATCTAAACATAGTCTAATATTTTACATTAGTAGTTTCTTATACAATAGTTAAAAAAAACCTACCAAAAGACAACCCAAATCATATTTCCTTTATTGACCACCTTAATAACCACTTTTATCCTTTATTAATCATGTTATTCTGAGTTCGGTTAGTATAATCATGAGACTGCCTAGCCTAATGGTCTAGAGAGAATTCTCTTGTTGCTAGACAATGCCTTGCTATGGAACCATTAAGCTCCAAGTGAACCCTGAATTAGATATAGAAATTTGTGACACAATGATATATTTCCAAAAATGAGAAAAGCTGGAGATTTAAGACAGACGGTAACTCTAACCACTCAGCCAGCAGAGAACAGATGGGGGGCTGCATGGTCAGGCCACACTGAGGCAATTCTCTCGTGGATCCACAGAAGGAAAATGACTTTTGGGGTCGTGTGGCGGGCATTTTTCCCCAGCAAGGCAGTCTAGTTCCCTAAACCCCATTTTGTGCCTGGGAAAGACAGTGAGTATTTTCATATAAGGTAAAGACTACAAGGAAGCCACAGGCTCACTGTACAAAGGTATTAAAATATTACGGCAAAGGAGCACCACATGTTGATTTTATCAACTTTTTTTTCCTGGAAGAATCTATTTGTCATGTATACACCACAGAAAAATCAGATTTCTAATAGAAAAGTATATGGTTCATGTTTTTAAAAAAGAATATATGCAAGATAATTCCACTGTAAAATACTTTGATTTGAATGTGACTTAGTACTTATTTCATATTAGCCAGATCCAGCTGCTCTAATAAATCTCTAAAATATGTTTTAGAATATCTATTTTTAAATAATGCTATTATTAAGCCAGAACATAGACCTTACATTTGTGCATCCATGTGTAAGCTATCCTGCTTGGTATCATTGGAGTCAAGATACTAAAAGATTAATAAACAATTTTTTAAAACTCCAGTCACAGTCTCACAAATAATATATTTCCTCACGTTTCCTCATGTACACTACTGACTTGTACTAATGGAATCTGAATTTTCAGATATAAATACCAGTGGATGGTTGGTTGTCAAAACTTAAAAGCCACAGGGTTGGAAGGACCTTCACAATATTGGTCATTAAATTGTAAGTAGCTGGGCTTGGTGGCTCAGACTGTAATCCCGCGCCTTTGGGAGGCTGAGGTGAGTGGATTGCCTGAGCCCGCGGGTTCGAGACCCACCTGGGCAACTTGGCAAGACCTCGTCTCTACAGTAAATCAAAAATTAGCCAGGTGTAGTAGCACATGCCTGTAGATCGCCGGAGCCCAGCAGGTCGGAGGCTGCGGAGGCCAGGAGCATGCCACTGCACTCCAGTCTGGGTGACAGAGTGAGACTCCAACTCAAAAAAAAAAAAAAATCTTAAGTAAAATTATTCTTAGAACTGGACCATAGTAAGCAGAATGCCCTAACTTTTCTTAGTTCAAACCCTGTAAACTGACTCTAACATTTATAAACATGCCCTTTTATGTGCTTTAAGCTGACATGCTGACTTTATGGTCTATACTTTGCAAGAGACCAGGTAACTCTAGCACAGAAGAAACTATATAATGTGGAACAGGGGAGGACTTCAGTGGCACTATTCCATTTTTATTGATCCAGACCGTTGCCTTCAGCCCTGCATTAAGGCCTCCTTGTATGTCAGTTTCTAACGTGTCACCAACCATCACACAGTCCCCAGGCTGTACTCCAAGGAGATTGCAGCAGTAATAAAATATGGACGGTGCTGGCTTCTCCTCTCTCTGCTCTCCACCTACAACAACAGCATCAAAATAGGACTGACAGGCACAAGCCTCAATCTTCTCCCTCTGGGTCTGTCTGTCCCCATTTGTTAATAAAAGTAGGCGGACCTCCTTTCGAAGTTCAGTGAGCATGGCTTTGACATCTTCTGCTAGTGTCATATGCTGTAAACGTGTAGATTTCCAAAGGAAGTAACATTCTTCAGCCAGTTTCCTATTGGCTGCGCCACCTTTTGTTTCCTGGATTGCTTCTTCCCAATGTGAAGTTCTTAGGTCGGTAATACACGTACTGTAAGGATGAAAACATTCCTTGCTGAGTTTAACTTGAACTTTATCACAGATGATTTCAGCCTCCTCTTTATAATGGTATTTTGATTGTAAGAGCTTTATCACCTAAATAGAGGAAAATAACTCCATTAAACTTTGTGTCTAGGAAGCTGTGAAACTACAGGTAGCTGCACTCCTCTGTCTTAAAGCAGCTCTATCAGCCACATCATTTCTGGTGAGAACTGGTCTTATTTTTAGAGGCACCAGAGTGAAGTGCTCTCAGCCTATCTAGACAACTCATTCATACATATACATATTTCTCTTTTTTTAATGGCTTGTAATTGATATTTGCCAAGATTGAATTAAGACAAACACATAAAAAGTTTTGACTAATACAAAGAAAGGTAAATAACACTGAATGTCACAATTTAGAATGAAGATAAAACAATTAAAAACATCTGTGCATTAAGGAACATGTTGAATAAACAACGCAGTATTTCTTTTTTAAAAATGACAATAAAAACACTGCATATCAGATTCTGTGCAATGCAACTAAAAGAGTAACTACAAATGACTTTTTTCTTTTTCTTTTTTTGAGTTGGAGTCTGTCACCCAGACTGGAGTGCAGTGGCCGCTCCCGGCCATCGCAGCCTCGACCTGCTGGGCTCCAGCGATCCTTCCGCCTCAGCCTTCCAGGTAGCCGGAATTACAGGCATGCGCTACCACGCCCGGCTGATTTTTTAATTTATTGTAGAGATGAGGTCTCGCTGCCCAGGTCTGTCTCAAACCCGCGGGCTCAGGCAATCCACTCACCTCAGCCTCCCAAAGGCTCGGGATTACAGTCTGAGCCACCGAGCCCAGCTTACAAATGACTTTAAAAAATAAAATAATTTGGTCGGGCACAGTGGCTCAAACCTGTAATCCCAGCACTTTGGGAGGCTGAGGCGAGAGGACTGCCTGAGCCTAGGGGTTCAAGACCGGTCTGGATAACTTGGCGAAACCTCGTCTCTACAATAAATAAAAAAAAAAATTAGCCGGGTGTCGTAGTGTGAACCTATAGTTTCAGCTACTTGGAAGGCTAAGGTGGAAGGACCACCTGAGCCTAGCAGGTCAAGGCTGCAGTGGTTGTGAGCGTGACTCTGCACTCCAGCCTGGGTGACAGAGTGAGACTCAACTCAAATCAGTAAGTAGGTCGGGCTCAGTGGCTCAGTCTGTAATCCCAGCACTCTGGGAGGCCGAGGCGAGTGGACTGCCTGATCCCATGGGTTCGAGACCAGCCCAGGCAACTTGGTGAGACACTGTATTAGTGGGCACTGTAGTGCGTGCCTATAGTTCTGGCTACTTAGAAGGCTGAGGTGGAAGAATCGCCTGAGGCAAGCAGGTTGATGCTGGGGTAGCCATGAGGGTGCCACTGCACTCTAGCCTGGACAACTCAAAAAATAAAAAAAATAAAAAAAAATAAGCCAGGCATGGTATGCGCGCCTATAGTTTGGGTTACTTGGAAGGCTGAGATGGAAGGATTGCTGGAGCCCAGCAAGTCGATGTTAGGGTGGTCATGAGTGTGCCACTGCACTCTAGCCTGGGTGATGGAGTGAGACACCATCTCAAAAAAAAAAAGTAAATAAATAAAAATAAAAAATACATAATTTTCTAGGAAAATATACCAAACCCAAATTGACCCAAGCAGGCAAATGAAAATTAACAAACTCTGAGAAAATAGATAAATATATATATTTTTTGAGTTGCAGTCTCACTGTCGCCCAGGCTGAAGTGCAGTGGCATACTGGTGGCCACCGCAGTCTCGACCTGCTGGGCTCAGGCGGTCGTTCTGCCTCAGCCTTCCAAATAGCTGGAACCACAGGCATGAGCCACCACGCCTGGTTCATTTTTTGATTTATTGTAGAGACAAGGTCTCACCAAGTTGCCCAAGCTGGTCTCAAACCCCCGGGCTTAGGCAATCCTCTCACCTCGGCCTTCCAAAGTACTGGGATTATAGGCGTGAGCCACTGTGCCCGGCCAAAATGGATAAATTTATCAAAGACCTATTATTAAATTTCATCACAGTTCCACATTGCTCAATGTGCTAGGCCAATGTTATCCTAGGGAAATTCTACTAATTTAACAAAAAAGTATAGATAATTCTACTATTACTTCAATTGTTTTAGTGCTTAAAAATACCCTCTAGGTATATTTTGAATAAAGGAAACACTGTTATCTATGTACAATGTATAAGCATTAAAAATGAAAATTAGGCCAGGCGCTGTGGCTCAGCACTGTGGCTCAGCTGTAATCCCAGCACTTTGAGGCCAAGGCGAAAGGATTGCCTGAGCTTGGGGATTCAAGACTAGCCTGGGCAACTTGGTAAGACCTAGTCTCTACAATAAATCACAAAAACTAGCCAGGTGTGGTAGCATGCATCTGTAGTTGCAGCTACTTGGAATGCTGAGGCAGAAGGATCTCCTGAGCCTAGCAGGTCGAGGTTGTGGTGGCCATGAGCACACATTCTTCTTCCTTAGAGTGTAGGACTCACAACACAGGAAAGGGAAATATTTATTGAGCTATTTGTGCTAATCAGAAAACATAATCGTTAAGAAAAATCTTAGTAGCCCAAGAAAAATATACTAGCCCTAAGAATCTTAAGTGGAGGCAAATCACTGGAAATTTTTACTTTATAAAGTTAATTTTTAAAATTAACAAATCAATCTTTTCAACCTCCATGGTTGTCACCATCTTTTCTAACAACATCAAATGAGTGACTCTTAAGCTATGATTGACAGCTAATTTCAGCAACCGTGCAACTATACAGAGAAAGGACACAAGCCTCAAAGACTAACAGTGCTTGAGCTTAAACAGGAGCAGGCTCATAGCTAGTAAACAGAGAGCTCATATAAATATCCAAGCTCCTGTTACTGCAGGTAGCACTACATTAAGCACATTCCTGGAGCTCTGAAAATGCAGGATTAGCTTGCCTTAAAGGGGAGATATTTGTAAAGGCAGGGCATACTGCTCCCAAGTTGCAAGATCTCTTCCTATTCCAACCACTGAATTAACTTTCCCATTTTGTCACACAGCAACCAATTTCAGATTTGTTTGGGAAAATACCATTTTAATAATAACATCTTTAGGAAAAAAGTTTATCAGTCATTCACTAATTATTAGTTCAAAGAGAAATAACACCTACACTGAATAAGTACACATTATTACAAACTCTAACACCTGCAATGAAAGAATGGGAGTTTTGATTGAATTGGGGGTGAAGGAAAAAGATCTCTAACTTGGAGATGTGATAACATTTTTGTGCACAGGGTAAGGCTGGCTTGAAAAGGGTATAATGAGCCTACCAGGTATTTGTAGGCCTGAAAAAAGAAACCCTACTTTGATAGCAACTCAAAAAAAAATATTGATGGCTAGTTTGAAAAATATATTGTACTTTATCATACTTTAAGAAAATTTTTTCTTTTTTTTGAGTTGGGGTCTCACTCAGTTGTCCAGGTTAGAGTACAGTGGCACAATCATGGCTCACCACTGCCTCAGCCTCAATCTCCTGGGTTTAGGTGATCCTCCTGTCTCAGCTTCCCGAGTAGCTGGGACAAAAGCATGCTACCACACCCAGATAATTTTTGGATATTTTTGTAGAGACGAGGTCTTGCTATGTTGCCCAAGCTGATCTCAAACTCGTGGGCTCAAGTGATCCTCCCACTTCAGCCTCCCAAAGTGCTGGGATTATAGGCTAAGGCACTGTGCTCAAACAAGCAAAGTATTTTCTGAATACCAATAATCTCAGTGCGAAGGGACTGAGTTCCAAAAGCGAAAACTAACCTAAAAATACAAGCTCACAAAACATGAGGACTGCCTGCACATAGCCTAGCCATTTAAGCAGCCCTTATGTTATTTTTAGTTCAAGTCTGTACTCAAACATCACCTACTCAATGAGGCCAAATCTTTTTTCATAAACTACTCATTTATTATCACACTTTTTTTTAATCTTTAAAAGGCAAGATCTTGCTCTGTCACCCAGGCTGGAGTGCAGTGGCACAATCATGGCTCACCACAGCCTCAACCTCCTGAGCTCAAGTGAAGCTGAGCTCCCACCTCAGCTTGCAGAGTAGCTACAACTACTGGCACCTGCCACCACACCTGACTTATTTTCTTATTTTTTATTTTTGTAGAGCCTGACTTTCACTATTTTGCCCAGGTAGTCTGAACTCTTGAGCTCAAGTAATCCTCCCACCTTGGCCTCCCAAATAGTTAGGACTATAGGTATGCATCACCACGCCAGGCAATGAGGCCAAATCTGATCAAACTATTTAAAATTGTGATTGGGTGGACAGGTGCAAGGTTCACAACTCTAATAGTAGCAATTTGGGAGGCCAAGGTGAGAGGGTCACTTGAGACTAGCAGTTTGAGACCTCGTCTCTACAAAAAAAGTCAAAAAATTACCTGAGGGTGCTGCTAGTGTATACCTGTAGTCCCAGCTGCTTGGGAGGCTGAGGAAAGTGGATATCTTCAGCTCAGCAATTTGAGGCTGTGGTGAGCCGTGATTGTGCCACTGCACTCCAGTCTGGGCCACAGAGAGACTCTGACTCAAAAATAATGACAATAATGACAATAATAATAATAATAGAATTGCGATTGGTTCCTCTCTCTACTTTTTCTAATATGCCTATAAATATATTTTTCACAGTCATTGTCATTCCCACTAGGAAGTAAACTCACAAATCTTTTCTGCTTTGTTCACTGAGAAACTCTAAGTTTTTGTAGAAGACTTCCTCTAGAGTAGTGACAATGAAAGAAAGGTCTCAGGGGAAGGAAAAAGATAACTTTTCCAGGTAACTTAAAAAAATTTAAAGTTGGCCGGGCTCGGTGGCTCAGCCTTTAATCCCAGCTCTTTGGGAGGCCGAGGTGAGTGGACTGACTGAGCCTGCGGGTTCGTGATCCGCCTGGGAAACTTGGCGAGACCTCATCTCTACAATAAATAAAAAATTAGCCGGGAGTGGTAGCGCGTGCCTGTAGTTCCGGCTACTTGGAAAGCTGAGGTGAAGGATCGCCGGACCCCAGCAGGTCGAGGCTGTGGTGGCTGGGAGCATGCCACTGCACTCCAATCTGGGTAACATAGTGAGACTCCAACTCAAAAAAAAATATTTTCAAGTTAATATATACAGTCAGGATATGACCTCTTCTCCCCAAGTCCAAGGCAATGAATGGCTGGACCTTTCTCCGTTTGTAAATCATTTTCAGGAATTTATGGAAACTGGCATGTTACTTCTATTATTATTTTTTGAGTCAGAGTCTTACTCTGTCACCCAGGCTGGAGTGAAGTGGCACAATCACAGCTTACCACAGCGTCGACCTCCTGGGCTCAGGCAATACTTACACCTCCTGAGTTGCTGGGACCACAGGTGTGTGCCATTATGCCCAACTAATTTTAAAAACATTTTTAGCAGAGATGAAGTCTTGCTATGTTGTCTAGGCTGGTCTTGAACTCCTGGGTTCAAACAATCCTCCTCCTTGGCCTCCTAAAGTGTTGGAATTACAGACATGACCCACTGCATCTGGCCACATGCTACTTTGAACAGGTTATTTATAAGTGGTGTTGATCTTTATGTGATCGAGTATTCCTCGCCTGGTCAAAAGCACGTAGTTCAATTCTGCTAATTTCACAGACTATAAAGAAGGTGGTAACAGAACCAAGTTTGGAGGTTAGAACTTTTATCTATCCAGCATTCATTCAACATTTACCATGATAAACAAAGATAATTAAGGCAGATTGTTCCCCCTGCCCCACCAAGAAGCTCACTATTTAGTTGAAGGCACTTGAGTTGCAAAACTAATTGTAATATCCTTTGACAGGTACGTTAAGAAATATCTGAACAAAATACAACATTAACGTATGTGAGGGCATAAAGACCAGGGAGAAACACAACTAATTTTTGTATTAGAAATCTCACTACATTAGGACTGTGGATAATGTGATAAGCCCAGAGACAAGACTATAGCAGCATTCTAGGTGAGAGATGAGACCTTCTGTAACTGAAACATGAGTGGGGGATGTGGAGTTGGGGACAGACTGGGTGACAGGGTGAAAGGGGATGCTGAGTGGACACTGGATGCATGTACTTTTTCTGTATTATATATATATAAAATATATTAAAAAAAAATATATTTTTTGAGTTGGAGTCTCACTTTGTCACCCAGACTGGAGTGCAGTGGCACGCTCCTGGCCACCGCAGCCTTGACCCACTGGGCTCCAGCGATCCTTCCACCTCTGCCTTCCAAGTAGCTGGAACTATAAGCGTGCGCTACCATGCCCGGCTAATTTTTTTTGATTTATTGTAGAGATGATTTTTAAAAAATTTATTGTAGAGATGAAGTCTCGCCAAGTTGCCCAGGTGGGTCTCGAACCCGTGGTCTCAGGCAATTCACTCACCTCGGCCTCCCAAAGCGCTGGATTACAGGCTGGGCCACCAAGCCCGGCTCTTTGTATTATATTAAACCTGATAGAGTTAATTGGGATTAATATTATAGTCAAACTTTCAGGATTTAGGGTGCGAAATGTTTGTTGAGGCACTTTCAGCTAGGTTTTGGGAAAGCTGTAATCCAAACACACACCTGTTTTTTGAGTCTGGGTCTGTCACACAGACTGGAGTGCAGTGACACGATGACAGCCACTGCAGCCTTGACCTCCTGGGCTCAGGTGATCCTCCAGTTTCAGCCTCCTGAACAGCTGGTACTACAGGCACACACCACCATACTTGGCTAATTTTTTTTTTTTTTTGGGAGGGGTCTCACCGTGTTGCCTAGGTGGGTCTCAAACTCCTGGCCTCAAGCAATCTTCCTGCTTCGGCCTCCCAAGGTGCTGAGATTACAAGCGTGAGCCCAGCTAGATGTCTGCTTTTAAAGCATAATTCTTGGCCTAAAACAAGACTGTAAGTGTAACACTGTGCTTAGTTTGCTAAGAACTCACAGGCGATTATGTCCTGACAGCAGCCAGAGGTACTGGAGGAAACACAGCACAGGGTAGTGCCAACAGGGCGAGGGTGATTAAGATGGAAGGGACAGTCAAAAGAGTGAAGTGCCTCAGTTTAAGGCCAGGAAGATGGACTTGATTATGGGAGGTGCCTAACGAGCCGGCAAAGAGAGGCAGCAGCTACAGCAGGAAGACCAGCCCAAGAGAGGCCCTTTCTTTAATGTTTTAAAAAGTATGGGCAAACACGAACATGCAGGAGGAGTGGGATGCACAAAAAAAGGATGAGCCAGGTGAAGTTCCAGGGAGCCAAAAACTGACCGATGAAGAGGACGGGGCAGGCGGGGCTGGAGACTTGCTTTTCAAAGTTTTTCCACGTCGGATACATTTCTCCCTGGAGCTGAAGACTGGGAACGGGAAGCAGGGAGGGCTAGGGTTCGAGAAGCAAGGGAGGTGGGCAGCACCCACGGACCCAGAAGAGTGCTGCCGGGCGGCACCGCGGAAAGGGGCCGCGCACCCGGGCTTTTGCTGCGTCACCTCGGGCAGCTGAGGGGGTCACAGCCGCACCCGCTCTGCGGAGAAGGCGCTCCGGGGAGCGCCGAACCCTCCGGGGTCAATACCAGGCCGGGCTGCCCAGGTCTCCCCGCAGATGCCCCGGCGGCCACGCGGCGG